CTTTTCTACTCTCTTCTGGCAGTCCTGGGAATTCCCACTCACTGGTTTTGTTTGATGGTTTTGTATGTGTGCGCTATTCTTGGGGAAAATACAGTTTTAAAAAATCTCTCAACTGAGAAAACCTTCCCACTAGGTAAAAGAAAACAGTTTCCGGGCCCTTCCTGGTGATACAAGGGATTAAAGTGCAGGACTGGAAAGAAGCTGGCGGCAGCTGCTTCAGCATGAGCTCAATCCCCAGGCAGGGAGGTGGCCCACATGGCACAACAGACTTCTGTCTCACCTGCTGCTCCCCTCAGCAGTGTACTCTGTCAATCTGCCTTTCAGCCCCCTACTCTGTCTCTGGTGAATCCTTTCATGGCCCCTGCACCTCTGGTCTGTACCCCAGTTCTGTATGTATAAATAAATAAAACTTTAAAGAAAAAACAGTTTAGTCATTGATAAGCAGTAAAACAGAATGTGTGGTGTGTCACAAGCAACCTGCTAAGAGGTGGGAAATCAGGCAGAAATCTTATCATCCAGTTTTATAGCCAACATACTCACCTACATAATCTCAAAATAAATAATAACAAGCCCTCAAGTAAAGGCACCTTTTGTCCCACGTAATGCATTCTAGATTCACCTGGTAATTGGAAGGGCTGATTGGCTTTAAACAAAATTCTCCTGTTAAAAAACAAAATTCATCTGGATAAACTTAAAGACCTAATTGACTTTGACAAATAATTAATGAGGCAGCATCCCTATTCTCTGAAGAGCTTCAAAGAGCTGTACAAATGGAAGGGGTGTAGAGGCAGGAGAGATAAGGGAGAGAATGATTATTCAGGCAAGGTCAGGGGTCTGTCAGGCAGATTACCTACCTGGGAAATTTCTGCTGACTGAGATCACATTCCTGGAAGGGAAAGCCTACAATTAATTAGGTGTGAAGTCTCTAGTTAGTGATGAGGGCTTAGCAGGACTGATTCCTTTGGGGGTGTAGTCTCTCTCTCCTCTGGCTCTTTTTTTTCTAATACTTGTAACAGGAGTTTCTCGCAAGTTTGGGGTTACAAGAAGTGAAGTTTCTGTGTCCCCACCAAGGCTGTGAAACAGGGTGCTAGCTTCCTTGATGGTTACAGTTCAAAGATGTGTTTCCCTGGTCTTTGAGAAAGACATTCTTGGGTTGTAAAGTTCTCAAGAAGCTGATTTATATTTTAAAAGATTTCCATATGTTTTAAGAGAAAGAACTCACAAGTCTTCAAAAATAAATGCTCAAAGAAAAACAAAGGGGAGGGTCTTTTTCCTAATTTTCAACAGAGAAATTTAAGGCTCTTTGTTTTCATTTGTATTTGCTATTGCACCATTCTGCTTGCTGTTTGCTTTAGGGGTGCTAAAAAGGAAGGAAGGGAGGGAGCCAGGGAGCCAGGGAAACAGGGATTCTTTCATGCCAAGGCCCACCTGGCATGTTCTTTTGGAATTAATGTTCCACACTTGACTGTCTTTCCACAATGTCAATTTATTTGTAGTTTATCCAACTAACCAGCAAGTGTGTTATGACCCGTAGCAAATAAAAGCTGCCAACCATCATCAGTATGTGCTTGGAGCACAAGGAATCCATCCACAAACAATCTATCAAAGAACAAAGATCTCGCTGCACTTATCATCAAATGTTCTCAAACATCATCCAACACAGTAGATTGATAATGAACGAAAGTCCTAGCGAATGAGGATGCTGGCCGGGCCCGGCGGAGGCATTTTCAGGCTCCAGACTCCTTTGTTTAGGGGAGAGGACTGTGGGAATCTATCACGGTCCAGTCTGCGGGCGCACAGCACTGTGAGGGACACAGGGCCTGTCTGTGTCTGGCTGAAGAGACAGCATCACAAGGAACAAATTCCCATAGACATAAGCCTTCCGCTTGCTTGCTGTCCAGCTGCCATTTGTATACCTTTCTTGGAGTCTCCCTGGCCCGGGTCCGGTTGTGCAGATAAGGTTCCACGGGGGGCTACCCTTACCCCTGTGTCCATAAGTCCACACGGGTGCTGTCTGAGTTACACCCACAAAGTGGGTCTGGGCTTTGACATTATGACTCCAGGTTATGTTTGGCGCAAATTACTTCATTAGTTTACTAAATAGGATAAGTAATTGAGCAGTAAAATACCTACCCTACCTGCAATGTCAGCCTCTTCCAAAAGTGGGAAAAAAATTTAACATCCTTCTTTATTTTGAACAATATAGGATTTCTCACCTCAGATGGTGCCACCATAGTTTTCCCACCACCACAGTGGGATGGCAGAGCCCAGAAGAGCTCCGGCTACCACAGAAGGGGGCCGACAGACTACTGGACCCTTGGCCTGGCGAGGGCCAGGCGATACTCAGTACTAGAGCTCCCTCCTCCCCAGGCCTGACTCTGGAACTGGGTGAGGAGCTGCAGGGTCATACATTCAAACAGGCCCTATAAAAACCTTCAACTGACCGAGAAAGAGCAGTCTTGAATGGCAGTTCCAATGTGAGTGGACAAACTCTAGTTCAGGCTTTTGCTCTGATGGAGGAAAGTAAACACAAATCAGCATCTATTTTCTAGCAGTAACGGAAGAATTGAACAATGGTTTACCAAAAAAAACCTATGTTGGGGCTTTCGCCTGTGTTTTGGGATTCGTGGGCACTGGCCACTCTGGGAAGGGAAGTGGCTGGTGGGAGATTTAAGCTGATCACAGTGCAAACTACTTGGGCAGCCACACCTGCATAATGAACCTTCGTAAGGCTGCAGGAAGGTAAGGCTGGAGCGTGGGCAGAGTGCCCCGGGCACTGCCCCTCCCCGCTTGCCTTGTCCTGGGATCTCTTCCATCCGGCTGTCCTGTTTTACATCTTTTATAATAAACCAGCAACCCAGTAAATAAAAAATTAAAAGAAAATGAAAAAGGGAAAGAGACAAGATAGTAAGTTCGGTATGCCACCTGAGACAGGAATCTGAACTAGAGGAAGGAAAACATATTCTAAAAGAAGTTTTTATAAACAAATCAATTGACAAATTGGAATATTAATATCAACTAAAGTGATAGGAAAATAAGAGCTTGGACACAAAGAAAGAACCTGGATTACAAACAGGTAAACAGGTAGTCACAAACATTCAATAGCTTGTTTTTGAAACAAAACATTTCATGAGCGGAATGTGGAGATGACACACTCCCTATCCTTCAGAAAACATAAACTATAACAGAAAAGGGCAAAAATTGGAGGACAGGAGCATAAACACTGAACCTCAAACAACATGTGATTTTTGTATAGAAACACAGTTAATGAGCAGCGGCGTCCTTACCCAACACCCACAGATCAGTAATGACATCAGATAGTTGAGAAATGAGCTTTCACTGCAAATCAAGTGGCAAGAAGGTAGAAGATAGCCTCAAATTTATCTCCCCAATTAAGAAAGGAATAGGTGACATACAGTTTGGGACCAGTATTGAGGACAAAAGAGTTAAATTTCATTGACTGAAAGTCTGGTGAGGGCAAAGAAATGTAACTTGGCTGAAGTTCATTGGCCAGTGACAGGGTATGAAGAGGCTTTTTCTCAGAGGACTGGGGCTGTGAGTCTCTGGTGGGGCTCTCCTTCTCTCCTGGGTAGCCCCTGGGGTTACCAGTTCCTAGCAGACCTTGGTGCCTCAGCTCAAGGTCACTGATAAGCCTCCAGTCTTTTCTGTATCTGTAAAAGCAAGTGTCAGAACAAAGTTTAAGTTTTTTTCTTTCTTACACTTTAGGATCTGAAACCAATGTATGCATTCAGCCTCAGTTTCATCATCTGTTCTTTTCCTAAGCATGAAAGCACACATGTGTCCTCCCAAACTCAGATATTTTATAGAACATAAACAGATTTTACTTTGTCATAGTTTTGTTTTTCAAAGATTGATATTCACTTAGTTACGCATATAAGAACTAGAGAGTAGACCAGATGCGTGAGGGGTGAGAGGACCCACCAGAGACAGAGCGGGGAGCAGAACAGGCAGATTGACTAAAATACACTGCTGAGGGGAGCAGTGGCTGAGACAGGACAGGTCTGCTCTGCCATATGTGGGTCACCTCCCTGACCGGGGATCGAACTTATGCCACAATGGATGGCAATACCTTGGTAGAGCTGAAGCTAAACCTGCACCACCAGAGAGGCCCCTTCTTTACATAGTTTAAATCATGCTATACAATGGGCCCTCCCTGCTAGTGCAACAGGTTAAAGCACAGCACTATGAAGCTATCTGCAGCCACTGCAGCACGAGCTTGATCCCCAGCCAGGGAGCTGACATACATGGTGTGACAGACCTCTCCTGACCTGCCTGTTGCTCCCCTCAGCAGTGTATCTCAGTAGATCTGCCTGTTCTGCTCCCCACCTGGTCTCTGATGAATCGTCTCACTTCCTGTACCTTTGACCTATGCCCCAGGTCTGTATGCATAAATAAATAAATCTTTAAAAGAACAAATCATGCTATATGTATATCTTATAGCCTGTATTTTTACATGTTACGATCATTTTTAGTGGCTGCATCATATTCTATTATTTCTACCTTCATAGGCATCCATATGTTACCATAATTTAGGTTGCTTTTGCTTTTCTGCTATTGTAAACAATATTGGAATATATACTTTGTGTACTTGTTCAATTATTCCCGTGTATATTTCCAAATTGCCCTCCAAAGGCAAAAGTACACCAACTAACACTCCCAGCAATGGGGTAAAGGAACACAAGCTTCTCCACTCTTTCACCAGCGCTGCCGAGAAAGCAGATTTTCAAAGAGGGGTACTGTCACCTTTGCTCTCTGTTCTCCCTTTCTTCTTCCTGATCGCTTTGAATACAGGTGCTCAATTAATAAATCAATCCTGCTCTAATCCAGTAGACACGCTGATCTAATCTGGCTGTTCCGGATGAAGGGAGCTCTCCTGGTTCACTGCCCAATATTCTGGCATTTGTGGACCCTATAAAGCAGGGGCTCCCAGCACAGGGCCCTGACCCTATCAAACCGCCACTGGCTGCCATCCTTCAGCCATGAAGCTCCAGCCACCAGTGTTTGCAGCCCTGGGATTCCTGGCCCTGGTGACCCCAGGTAAATTGGTTGGAGGAGGGAAAGAAGAGCTGCCAGCCAGGACCACCACCGGCTCTGGTACTCCCGTGACAGACAAGCCAGGGTGTGAGATGGCAGGGCTCCACCCACGAGCTCCAGCCCAAGGGCGGGAAGCTCCCACACCCACTGAGGGCCCACCACCCCCACCCAGCCATGGCCTTAGGCAACTTTGTACAAAGACCAGGTTCAACAGCCTTTTCTGTTCTTAAATGAGTCACCTTCAAACTGTGTGAATATCTCTCAATGTCTGTGACTTCCCTTCATCTCACACATTCTGTAAGCTCTTAAAGCACTGAGAAGTCATCTCTTGTCCGCATTTTCATCGCAGGAAGTCAGACTGACACTAATACAGGGAAGAAAGAATGAGCCTGGGAGGAAGAGTTGAGCAAGGGGCCACTCCCCAACCCCAGCCAAGGGCCAGCAGGCAAGGTGAGCAGATTCATACCTGATGCCAGCAACCACTAAGTCTTAACCTCAGGCCACCAGTGAGGCCCAGAAAGAAAACGCTCGCAATCCACCTAAAGAGCAAAAAACACTAATTTTGCTTCCCTGATGGCATAGGGGTTCAGGCTTAGCACTGTCAGCTGGAGGGTGTGTGTCATGTGCTGGGAGCCACTGCTTTATAGGGTCCCCCTCTCCACACCTCTAGACTACACCCCAGTTCTTCTATGCAAAAAAAATCTTAAAATATATTTTAAAAGAGAATACAGTCACGCAACTTTTATTACAGTATATTAACTATTCCACTTTACTATATTATCATCATTAATCTCTTACTGTGCCAAACTTATAAATTCAACTTTATTATTCGTCTACAGGACGAAACTACAGGAGGAACATCACACATAGGGTTTAGTACTATCTGTGGCTTTAGGCATCTACTGATGGGTCAAAAACTCATCCCCTGCAGAGAAAGAGGGGCTAACGCATAGCAAAATCACAGGTCAAGATGTAGAGACTACAAGAAAGAGCTCCTCACAGTTCCCAGGTTATCAGTGAAGAGAGAGTCTAGCTCCTTTTCATGTCTTTCCCATGTCTCATTTACCTGATATCTTAAGTATACACTTCAGAATAAAAAAACAAATACTCCCACTCCTGACTCTGACCCACTGTCCCTTCCTGTGCTTCTTCTAACCTTGGTCTTTTCCTCTCCATCTGCAGCCTATGGGGGCTGGACAAACTGTGGAACTCACTTCCCAGGACGCTGCAGGCTGGAGTGTGGCTTCTTGGAACGAGCACTGTTCATGTGTGACAGGTACAGGCAGTGCTGTATCAAAGACCCCATCCCGTCCATCCTGAAGGTAGCTCCCCCCAAAAAACAGAAGAGCTTATCATGCAGACGAACCACAAAAACACCACCCACGACGACTCCAGAACCAGAATATGACATGACTGCATCATCCATATCATCCTCAGTATCATTATCTGCATCGTCATCTCCTCCATTATCTCCAGTCTCACCTGCCCCTTCCAAGTCACCTGCCCCACCCAAGTCACCTGCCCCTTCCAAGTCACCTGCCCCACCCAAGTCACCTGCCCCTTCCAAGTCACC